ACTGATAGATCAGCATTCAGACCCAGAAGATAGCATCATCTACACAGATTGATCCGTGAAGCGCGGATCAAGGTCAGCATGGGCATACACAGCGCAAAGAAGGGGGAAAACAATACATGAGGACAGCGGCGCTTACCAGACAACCACGTCAAGCATGATCATGGAAATAGCCGCTGCTTCTAGAGCTTTTGCATGGGTATCCCAGTAAACCACCACACAGGCAGTAATTGTCTCAGACTCAGTGACTATGCTTTAGAAAATAGAAACAGGCAGTATGCGCTCTGAATGGATAGAAAGCATTCGGAAATCGCACTTAACCTCCGTAACCTGGATCTACACACCGGGTCATGCGGGCGTAAAGGGAAATGAGCGAGCGGACCAACTGGCAAGCACTGCACTAATGATTACGGGAAAAAGCATGAATAGAGCAGATATCGTCAACGCTGTACGGACTGGGCTAGTGGATAATGACGAATCCCTGACACTAACACGATTGCGTGACATGGGAGTTAAGCATGGTGAAGCACGTCTTTGCCGTCTTTGAGGCCGAGAAAGGAGGCAATATAACCAGCTTCTCATGGTGAAAATTAGTAGAAAAACTTTGGAGTGGCTGCTGCTTCAGAGGACTGAGCACGCAAGGGTATGCCCAAAGTGCAATGACGTCGATTGTGATAAGAAAACATAAAATAACACCTTGTAGGGAGTTGGCAGTCCGAAACCCAAGTTCAAGGTGTCTGCTTCGTGCCAAAGAACTGCATCGCTGTTGGGTGAACAGTCGTTAACGAAGGCAGTCAGGTCGTTGTAGAGGCGACGCCTGCTGGTGGGTATAATGTCATAAGTCCCTTCCCCAGCTAATAATGAGGGTACTGCTGGGGTGACCGTTTATTAACCTTCATATAATGCTTCAGGTCAAAATGGACGCTAGGCACAGCCATTTTTTTTTTTTGCCGTGGCAAATGTTTGTGTGTGTGTGTGTGTGTGTGTGTGTGTGTGTGTGTGTGTGTGTGCTTCTGCTAGACGGTGGCCATTGCATTTTTGCTCCATTTGTAAACTGTAAGGATATAGTTTCGTCACCCAGTTTCTGAGTTGAGTGCATGGCGTGACACTGTGAGCTACGGGTGTTTTTCGTTGGCACAGGAGTGGAGCAACTATTGGGTGTCCTGTTGGCTATGAAGCTGAAACTAGGATTACCAGATTACCAGATTACGTGTACCATTCGGATGAGCAGATGGTAATCAGAATCTGATTAGAGTGATGCAGCGAGGAGCGACGAGGGTTTTTTACCAATACAGGACGCTCACAGGAAAGGCAAGATGTACATATAATCAGACTGCTACTGGTACCACTGGTATTGGAACTCTGCAATTGCTGCTGAAGATGGGGGCGGAGCGCTTATGGAAATGCCCCGAGTGCTGTTATGTCGTTTCTTGAATCAGCTCAACTCAATTCTTTGTCTATTTGAGTATAAATTTCTTTGTGTGTCGATGGCAGATTGTAAAGTGCTATAACCCATATTGTTGCATACCACCAGAACTACAGATCCCTGGTTAAGCCACTAAATGTGATAATCCAGTGATTCCCAAACTGTGCACAGCGACGCCCCGGGGAGCCGCAATGTTTTCACATGGGCGCTCGCGAAATGTTAGAAGATACACGAGTTATATTTGTTTTGATCTTTAACACCCGAACAGTCATACTTTTACTTAGGTTAGGGCACCGTGGAAAAATGTGAATTGAAAAAAGACGCTGCGACTAAGAAAACTTTCGGAAACACTGTGATAATCTGTCACAATCCTCTCGTAAATTACTCAAGCCCATACTGATGCATGCATTCAATTTCAAGTGCATGCAATAACAATCGGCTCGTGTTGTCTGTGTCTCCGAATTTAATGGTTTGAGATAAATTATGTCCGCATTTCTTCGTTGTGGATTCGAACTGTGCGACATACATCGCATATGAAGACACATTTTTATGTTAAATGTGCCTACTTAGTCATGCATCCTAGTACACTTGTTTCTGCAGCGAAGCGCCGTCGTCATGTAGAAGTGACGGATTATTTTTATGGCACTGTAACTACAGCTTTCGAATTTTATGCTGTTGTGTCCTTCTCTCTTTTTACTTCTGTCAGTAGTGACGATCAATATATGTTTATTTGTTTGACATATGTAATGTTATTATGTCACAACGTAGCTTATGTAAAGCCACCTTTGTTAGACCCGTACAACATAGAATCCCTCTGATGGTTATCTTTTCAACATAAGAGAACTGGATACATCAACTCTAATTTGCCATTCTTATCCTATCAGCAATCATATCAGTATAGCTAAAAGCGGCGGCATAGCAGTAGGAACGTAAATTACAATATTTTTTGTAGGAAACGACTGGAACATCAACATCATCAATTATGTACCTGTAGCCACAGGAAACCAACATAAAAGGCAGGTTTATGGCAAGAGAAACAACTGCGGTACAATATATAAAATAATTATTCAATGGATC